TAGCTACCAGAAGGTGGACATAGGAACTTGCAATGTTGGAAACTTGTTTAGGGTGATGCACCACTGTTTGGTCACTCAACCACAGCTCAAGGGACCCTTCACTACCTCTGGGGAACCCTGGTTGAGAATGGCTGTTCCATGCTATTGATTCATTCACCTCTACAAGAAGTTTGTTCTAATGTGAACTTCTTCAGGGAAGCCTACCCCACCCTCACCTAACAGCCGCTGCCCTTCCCTCCTCCTACCACTCCATCCCCCACAGCCGTTTCCTCCTGTACCTCTACCCCCTCCCTCCTAGATTGTAAGCTCGAAAGAGTAGGGCCCTCTTACCCCTTGTGTGCTGTTTGATGTTTACTGTACTGTTTCATGTATTGTCCCCCCTCTATTGTACAGCGCTGAGCAAACCCTTTGGCGCTATATAAACTCGATAAATAAATAAATAAAATAAATAAATGTGAAGCATCGCTGGTTTTAGTGTGATCTGTGGCCAACAACAATAAGCCATTTTGAGTTACTGAAATACATTATTTTTGGAATATATTGTTAAAATATTTCTGTTTGCATACCACAGCTAATGTATACCAACCTCATACAGTTGGACCATGTCTGTGAGGGACTATGTTATTACAGCTTCTGGTCTGACTACTCATGTGGATAAGCTGCAAGCCAGACATTTTTTTTTTTTATGCTGTTCTGAGAAAAGTCAGATATCCCACATTTTTTCAAACTACATCAGATTGAAGTTGCATGTTACAAAGCACTATTTATCTCATACAGCCTGACAATGTATGTGTGTAGGTATATATACACTATAGTGCCAATAGTATTGGGACACCCCTCCAAATCATTGGATTCAGGTGTTCCAATCTCCTCCATGGCCACAGATGTATAAAATCAAGCACCTAGGCATGCAGACTGCTTCTACAAACATTTGTGAAAGAATGAGTCGCTCTCAGGAGCTCAGTGAATTCAAGTGTGATTCCGTTATATGTTGCCACCTGTGCAATAAGTCCATCTGTGAAATTTGCTACTAAATATTTCACAGTCAACTGTTAGTGATATTATAACAAAGTGGAAACAACTGGGAACAACAGCAACTCAGCCACAAAGTGGTATGCCACAAAAAAAATTACAGCACGAGGTCAATGCATGCTGAAGCGCACAGTGCGCAGAAGTCGCCAACTGTCTGCACAGTCAATAGCTAAAGACCTCCATGTGGCCTTCAGATTAGCACAACAGTGCGTAGAGAGAGCTTCATGGAGTGGGTTTCCATGGCCGAGCAGCTGCATCCAAGCCTTACATCACCCAGTGCAATGCAAAGCATCAGATGCAGTGGTGTAAAGCATGCTGCCACTGGACTCTAGAGCAGTGGAGTGACGAATCACGCTTCTCTGTCTGGCAATCTGATGAACATGTCTGGGTTGGCGGTTTTTCAGGAGAACGGTACTTGCTTGACTGCATTGTGCGAAGTATAAAGTTTGGTGGAGGGGGGATTATGGTGTGGGGTTGTTTTTTCAGGGGCTGGGCTTGGCCCCTTAGTTCCAGTGAAGGGAACTCTTAAGGCGTCAGCATTGCAAGACATTTTGGACAATTTCATTCTCCCAACTTTGTGGGAACAGTTTGGGGATGGCCCCTTCAACATGACTGCACACCAGTGCACAAAGCAAGGTCCATAAAGACATGGATGAGTGAGTTTGGGGTGGAGGAACTTGACTGGCCTGAACTCAACCCGATAGAACACCTTCGGGATGAATTAGAGCGGAGAATGTGAGCCAGGCCTTCTCGTCCGACATCAATGCCTGACCTCACAAACGCGCTTCTGGAAGAATGGTCAAACATTCTCATAGAAATGCTCTTAAACCTTGTGGACAGCCTTCCTAGAGTAGTTGGAGCTGTTATAAAGATTTTAATCATATCCACCTTCAGTTTGATGGATTTCACTATATGTCTCACATTTCATGCATGCCTAAATTACATGAAGATTCACCCTGTACCTTTTTACTAAATGTCAAATTAATTTACCAAGTGCTGTCACTGTACATTTGTCCACTGATTTTCTGATATTAATCCAGACTTTTGGGACTTTCCATGAGGAAAATTCTCACATACTGTATATTTATTTTTATTAGAGCAGAGCCATCTTTATTGGAATGAATATTTGAAAATTTGCATATAATCCCCTCTAATTTGTGAGTTATTCCCTTTTTTTATTGCAGTTCAGTCTGCAGAGCATTGCACCTGGGATTCATGGATCATGGGTGCAGGCTTCTGCAGACACTGGTGAGCGCTTTCTGCCATTCTCTCCATATGGGCAGACAGTTACTCAGATGCAGGAACTGTCAGTGTACTACCAGGCTGCTAATCGGCGTCCTGATAGTTAATTGAGAAATACTTGCTGTCTACCACTGTGTCAGACAGGACTTGTAGTTTTCTCATTTACAGATTCCTTTGAACGAATGACGCAACTGTGAGGGTGAAGCCCCACACATCCGCACCGTTTTTGAAATGTGGCTGCAAGTGCGTAAAGAGGAGCCCCAACCCACTCAGATGGGAGGGGTAAGGGGGGAGAATGCTAAACATGTTACACCTTAAATACAGATGTAACATGTTCAAATGGTGAACTTATCCTTAACTCTAAGTTCTTTTAATCTATAGAGGTTATTTTTGCTCATTGATTTTACAATAATTTGTGCAAAAGAAATAGTTTTTTTTTTTGTTGTGATACCTGAGACTTCTCTGAAAAAGTCCCATACCATCAAATATTCTGGTACTTTCCCATTGCTTCTTCGACTGTAAGACAATAGAAAGCCTTGTACTCATCAAAACTAAAACTTTATATATCCTGCCGGTTTGCCTTAGTATATCTTCCAGCACAAGATTGTACCATACACATAAAGAACTTGATCTGTCATATTTTGAAGACAACTGCATAGTATGAAGGAAGGAAAGGTTTCTAAACTTGACTCTGTATGGATCCTGTGGAGTGACATTCTTTCTTAAATAAATGTACCTAACAGAGTTATTTCTAGGGAAATTTAGTAAAGCATTTATGACAGTTTTCTGGCAGTAGGGCCCTTTAAAACTACCTAATTCAGGCAAACATTTCGGACAGTTTTGGTTCAAGCACCGACATGTGGGACAAATTTAGGTAGTTTTTACTGCCACTTTAAGAATCTATCAATATGGAAATTACATATTCTTAAAGCTTCTTAAAGCCAAAACCAAAAATATATTATACTGCAGCCTACCAATCATTAGATGTGGTGGCTGCATCAGTTTTTCTTTTTTTTATCTCTCTTTTCACCTGGTGATCTGGCCAGTAACACAGCTCTTGTATTAGTGAGACACCACTTTGGAGGAATGAGCCAGGACACAGCAAGCAACAGCAGTGTCAGGCTGGGGGGGATGGGATTGTGAAATGTATTAGCAGACTTGAATACAAATAACAAATTGAAGCCAAACTCCAAAAACCTCTATTGAACTGAATAGTGGTCATGGATTCACTCACTGTCATGCACTGTCAGTCAAAAACAAAGCCTGATAGAGAATTAGTTGAAAACATAAGTGTGATTTTCAGAGGGGTGGGACTTATATTTCCTTTGATATGTTACGGATACTTTTTGATATTCCGCTTCGAGAATATTATCGATATCGGCAAATAAGACACTTTTTTAGTTCTCATTTTGGACTGATACCTCATCCCCGATCATTTATTTTGAACGTATCAGTCGTGACTCTCCCAGGTGTAGGGGTCTTATTTCAGATTTATATCGCTCCTTTTCGATTGCCATCTTTCCCTCACCCCCTTTATAGAGACAGAAATGTTGATTGCGGTATTACATTTTCCGAAGAGGACTGGGAATCCATGCTGGATAATATACGTAGGGGCTCGAGGTCTCTCTCAGTTCGTGAGATAGCCCTTAAAGTTTTAACCTGTTGGAATTATACCCCCTCTAGACTACATATCATGTTTCCAGGAACATCGCACTTCTGTTTTAGGGGTTGTGGCCTTGCTGGTACCCTTATGCATATGATTTGGGCTTGCCCTGGTCTTTCCTTGATCTGGCGTTGAGTTTCTGAGGTGGCCTTTGCCTTGGTGGATACTCCTGTGAACTTGTCATTGCAAATTTGCTTATTGGGTGCTCTCATTTCGTGGATCCCTGCCAGAGTAATGAGGCTAATTCACACTATCTGTGTCTGTACCCTATGGGCCATTTCCCTTCATTGGAAGTCACCAGTAGTGCCTTTGTCCTCTGTTTTGCGGAGAGCTGATATGGTGATGCTCACGGAACGTATTCAATATACCTTGTTGGATGGGATGCACTTATTCAACAGAAAATGGGATAGTTGGAAGACATTTCGGCATTTATTGTTAGATTGATGGATTATCATAGATTTATTGGCATTGTATTTTTGTTGGTTGTGTGGTTGTTCTGCATGACTTACTGCCTACCTCATTCATGCACTCGAACTTTCGTTTTCTATGATTCTGGTTTATAATACCGTTTTTTACTTATGTGCCTTTTTCTTGATGTATGCTATACTTCATGAAGTGGTGCTATTTTTGTTATCTATCTTTCAATAAAAACATTTGTAAACAAAAAAGAAAACATAAACGTGAAGATTCCTTATATGCTGGTGATATAAGAACATCCAATATATCAGCTGGACTGATCTGTATGGGTCTGAAGTCTTGAGGATAACTTTCTCTGATAGTACAGTTACCCTTTAAATGTGTTATTGGTGCTGTTAACTCCAAAACTGTATCATGCAGCTGTTTTTAGACAGGAGAGGTAATGCACATGGATAAAAACCTAATGCTACATTTGCCTTTAGAGAAAGCAAATCGTAAAACTGTAGAGCGCTGCGACTTCTTTTCTGTTTTTATCTTTAAATCTATTCATAAACATTATTAAAGATGCTTATACACCCATAGATTTAGCCCACTGCTCCTCTGTATTTGGATTATGTCTATAAATATTGTACATGCTTTCTTCTAGGTATGAGTCTCCTCAAGTGGCATTGCATTGTGGGATAATGCTCCGAGAATGTGTCCGTCATGAGCCGCTTGCCAAAATTATCCTTTACTCTGAGCAGTTTGAGGACTTCTTTAAATATGTGGAAATGTCAACATTCGACATAGCTTCCGATGCCTTTGCTACATTTAAGGTAAATTATTTAAAGCTCTGTTCTGTGTTTATGTAGTTTAAAATAGAACTCCTGGCAAGTTTAGTTTTCTCCAATCTGTGTCATCACAAACCAAGATTTCTCAAGCCTTACTCTGACAGACAACCAAGAGAAAGCAGAATATTAACACATTGGTGTACTTCCCCGCAGTACAGCCTGTAAGTTGTATAAAATGAACATAACTATCTAAAATAGTACATTTTATTTACTTTTTTCCAAGATAATTTGGAAAATACACACTCTGTATGCTGTGGTGAGCAACAACAGTTTGATGTAGCCAATGTGGACACATTTGGCCAGAATTGATCTATGTATGTATAAACCCTCTTGCTATGGTGCCACCTTTCCATAGTCTTCAATAGAAATCCTAACTCTTTCAGGATTTATGCCTGTAGCTATGTCATTTACTTGCTCTGGCAACGCCATGTTACCAGCATTAATGGATTCCATCCTGTGCCTTGCCATCCGGTGTCTTTGCCCTCTACAGTTGGTCCCAAATAGAAGTAAAAAGGAGATTACTCCTTTAACCTGACAACATTACTCTCCAATAGCCCCCAATTTTAGTCCTGCTATAGGCCCTTCCTACCTCTGGGCCCTGTGCTGTAGTTCAGGCCATTACGGTAGTATCTCTCTTGAAACAGAGGCCTAATGATTTCAGTGCTGCTCCAAGCACAGTATGGACTGATATATTTTGCAAAGACAAGGTGAGTTAAGGGGTAAAGTGTTAGGTTAAAGTGTCTCTAAACCCAAGACCTACATTTTAATATATTTCAGCTTACTAGTCCCTAGATGTTGGTGGCTGCATTCATTTTCTATTTTTCAGTTTTTTTATTTAACCTTTATTTTCATTTAATTATCCTCCCCTCTCCTGGACATTTCTTGATAACATTGCTTGAGACTTCATTGCAGCCACAGGAAATCATGAGCTCAATGGATTTCTTTCATGATCAACAGTTTTTTTTACTCACTAGAAAAATAATTTTGCTTTCGCTGGTATATTGAACAGATTAAGGCTAGGTTCACACTGCAGCAATCTGATTTTGATCTGATGTTCTGTGCGATTATGTAGAGCAACTTGGATTCAGCTTTGCAACTTGGATGATGTTTGTATATCCTATGGGTCCAAAATCACGCTGGAATTGCACCAAAGTAGTATAGGAACCTTTTCCAAAATCGCATTGATGTGAGCGGGCATTGTGATTTCCATTGTTATGGGATTCTGTGAACAGTGCATAAGAGTTAAAGGATAAGTTCCCCTTTCTACAAAAAAATAATAAATGTACATTTTTTTGCAGGTAAAAAAAAATGTACATTTATTATATTTTGTAGTAGGAGCCTGTAAAGCATCGCTCCAGCGATCAGCAGATCGCTGATGCCATGCAGGTTTCCTGCAGACATCCTGTATGGGCAAGCCGATACTTCTGACACGAAGACTCAATGAACTGCCATGGCACTCACAGAGCCATGGTAGTTCATTGAGAACTACAAGCTGACTGCTGCTAAGCATTTTGGGACTTGTAGTCCATTCAATCACAGAACTTGGTGCAGTTTTTAAAAAGTGACCCCTAGTACGGGGAACTTCCCCCTGTACTGCTGTCACAGGGAGGGGGGGAATCAGGCGGCGGCTTCAGGATTGGGAACATGTTACAAATTCCACCCTAAAAATGGGTGGAATATGCAACATGTTCCCAAAGGCGAACTTATCCTTTAGGAACATGTTACACCTGTAATAAGCTCCTATGCACCCAGCTCCCGCCACCAGCGGGACAGCAGACCGGGGATCTTCTCCTTGCACCTGCTGTTAAAATTTGAAAACCGCGTGGCCATGTGGGGCTTCACCCACAAGGTCGTATCATTCATTCACGGTTTCCATACCGTACAAGTATCAAAAGCCATTGGGACTGATGGCTTGTAGTTCTCAATGGTGAGCGCACTCATAGTTCATTGATTCTTTCTGCCATTAGGTAACTTTCTGCCCATATGGGAGGGTATGGGCAGACAGCTTACTGAGAGTCTGCGGGATCCAGGCATTGCACCCACGAGCTGCTAATCGCGGGTGCAGTGCTTTACAGGCTGCAATAATATAGAGAATTAATTGATTTGGTTCTGTACATCTGAAGGCTAGCATTGATTTTTGCAAAGTATTAGACATCGGTAATCCTACTTTTCAAAGTAACTGTGACCTAAGGAGAATTTTTCTTCAATGTGTTGTTGGACAGATTTTACAGATGTAGTAAAAAGTGGTTCCTGTTGTAGAACAAGCTGTTATTGCCTCCCTTGGTGAGATTGTTATTGTACTGTGTGTGGCCCTCATTATTAAAACATTCACTTGTGAGGTGTTAGTTGAAACAGACTTCTTTTTTTCTGATCTGATAAAAGACAAAAGATTTTGCTGACCCAAAGCATGCTGATATATATCAATACAGCTCAGCTGTTTATGCTTTACAGTGAAAATTATTTTTTATACACAATGATTCAATCTCTTCCTTTTTTCAGTGTGATAAGCAGCTCATAGATGAGTCATGGGTTGAACGAAATAAAAATGACCCCATTCCCCTATCTACAAATTCAAGGTGGATGGAGGAAGGTACAACCAGCTATCCCATACATGGATCGAAATTCGTCCGGTCCCTGCTGAACCAGCGAAGTTTCCATCCATGTAGTGGTCTATATTCAGCAAGCTTGATCATGAAGACATTAAACATGCTTCGTTGACGGTGATAGGAAATTTAAAGTTAGGTGCTTTAATTTTTCAGAAGCTTTTGCCATCTGGGTCCTGTGCTTTTACAGCCTTTACAAAATTACCTAATACATATTTTTATGAATTCCACTGATGTCTGCTGTTCTGTAAGCTTTGCTCCTTATTGATGTATTAATGCTGAGCACAGATTTAAGATGATAGTTGGATATTTATGAATAACTACACCTCCAAAAGACTATTCTATCTTTGCTCAACAGCATGGTCATCTATTGGCAGATCCTATTTATTTCATAAAGATCAAGCCAAAATCATTTGGTTTCTGTAGGTAGTTAAGTTGAGGCCTTTAACTTGTAATGTTATGTAATGCCTTGTAAACACGATGAGAACATCAGACAAAAAATACCACTTTCAGAGCAATCATCTGATAATCTGATCGTTATTGCACAGCTTTCGAGAGCCGATCACAACAGTTCATGGAAAATTATCCGAAGGGACAAGCACGAAAAATGTTCTTTTACGATAACAGAACAAACGATTTTCGTTTAATCAGTACAGTAGACGTCCATAAAAAATTGAGTGACCAAGTCTACGCATGCTGGGAAACAAATGAATACATTAAAACAATACAATACGGTACATTACGTCATCAAGGGAAGTTGCATTCAGTCTTGCGAGAATTTTCGTAACTTTAGTAACCTATTTGGTTTTGATATGAGACTAGCATGCAAAAAACTGACGATCATTTGTCTGATATTCTCATAGTGTGTACCAGGCTTAGGTTTGCTGATAATTTTTTTCTTCAGAGTTTAAAGGAAGACTATGTTACTATAAAGACTTTTTCTTTGTTGTAAATGGTGACCTTGTCAATAAAATGCATTACACTTCCCAAACATTAAGGCCTGATTGAACACTTCCAGACCTAGTGATCCTCATCACAGCACAGCCAGGTTGGCAGGCAAGCGCTTCCCCCCTGTCCGAGCTTATGGATCATGTATCAGATATGTGATCTGGCGCAGAACAGCTATTATGCTGCAGTACATCTACATGGTGCGTTCGGCAAGTGGATAATGTGGGATAAATGTATATTGAAGGCCATTTTACATGACCCAGGTGTGGCCTATCTCTTCCCTATCTGCAGTGACAGGATGGATCCAATATCTGTGCTTCCTCTTCAATCCGTGACCCCCTTTTTTGGCCACACTCACCTGCTTAGATGGACCCTTTGCTCGCAAAAGAGTCAAACAACACTTTGCCTGGTGGTGAATAATGATATTTCCTTTCTTTCCTTTGCTGCAGATCATGCACTCAACATATCCTACTGTCTTAAAGCGGAGCGGGGGGTGGGGAAGCAGGTACCCAATTTTGAAAGGTACCTGCTCCCACTTCCGCTGTGATCGCCTAAGACGATTGGTAGCAGAAGTTTTTTTTTAAAGTCCACGAACGTGCGAAAAAACAAAAAACCCGTAAGTGTTCACACACAAAAAAGTGCACTTAGGGGACGTGCTTTGTCCTTCCTCCGAAGGGGATGGACCTCTACCCTGATCCCCCGGGGCACGAAGCTCCTGACAGGGACAAGGTTCCCATTTGGCTCTCCCGAAGAGCAAACCCCCTAGGGACAGGGGAGGAAGGAACCAAAAGGCCACACATCCTCCCCCTAGACTTCAGGGTAAGCCCGAGGACCCACACCCTCCATCCTGTGAGAAATAAAACACACACAAAAGTGAAAAGTGAGAGAAAATAAATTAAAAAAAAGAGAAAATAAATAATTGGTCGTGCAGATTGTGCACTGACCAGGCCCTGAGGCCCGTAGCAAAAATTGCCCAGAACGTTAGCCATAAGGCCCGGTCCTAAAGGCGCAGTGCAAGAAAAGTGTTTGAACACAGTGACCATGTGCCTTTTCACACGCTGGGGTCCCACACCCAAGTGTTACTAAGAGCACCCCTGAGGCGACCACTCAGGGGGCACTGGTTCGCGGACTTTTTGCCTCCCCGGCCTCTGGCCAGACAAGGTAGATCCGTTCAAATCAGGAGGAACTGGGCCCCTCCGGTTTTCCAGGGGGAATTACTCCCGGGCCCCAGCAGCCTGTGGGCGCCTCGTTTTCTGTTCCAGCCTGTACTAGCCATCAGGATCCCCATCATACCAGCAGGGGTACTATACAACCAGTCATCCGCGCAAAGCTAGAATGACCGTGGAGCACCCCTGCTGGACACTGATAAGAATAGATACTACACTTGATCTTAGCCAAAAGGCCGAGAAGCTACAGTTTATAATTTGCATACCCAATTATATTGTGAAATGTCTTTGTTACTTGTAAATTCGTAGGATTTGTATTTGGAAACACTTGCATTTTTTTCTGGTGAAAGTTCATGGAGACCATGAATTTTTTTACTGTTCTCCAAAAATACGTATTCATTGAGATAAGTCGAGTGCCAATGGAGGGATATTACAGTGTATACTTGTGCTATCTTTAGAACTTTCTCAGAAAAAGAAGTAAAAAACAGTAATTCAGTATGACATATAAGGCTCCATGTACACTGGAACATTTTTCTGCTGGCAGCAGAAAAATGCTAAATGCATTAAAAATGTGTTTAAACGTGGTACCACATTTAACTGCGTTTAGTGATTGGATGTTTATTCATTTTATTGGCCAGAGTATTTGCCATTGAAATGAACAAACACCTAAGCGTTTAGCGTTTTTTTTTGGGCCAAAACATTCGTTTCCTGACCGTGCTTCTTCTGGGTTCAAGAAAGGGACGTTTAACTGGCCCTAAACTCTGCTGCTATTAAACTCTGATAAAAGTCTATGTGTGCATGGACACTTGGGCTTTTATTGAGCTGAGTTCAGGGGCTTTGGCAAAAAAAAAACACCAAAAGCTCTTGAACTCATGTTTATGAGCAGCAGTGTGCATGAAGCCTTAGAGTTCTTCCCAAGAAATATCATTACAGTATACAATATTTGTGTAACATTGACTGTTATCTGATTGAACATTGAGCTCTGTATGGTGATTAGCTTTCATATTCAATGCAATGCAAGGCCTCCATTCTATCTTGAGTCATTAAAATTGCATTACGTTATTAGCATAATTACTCCATGGAATGTGCAGAACCATGCTTACTGTTCTACCCGATACACTGGAGAATGAGGTGCCAAGAACTATGTTTCTTAGCTTTTCCACATTAAAATGTACGTTTCCTTAATTGTCCGTTTTGTGCAATGGCATCTGTAAATTACAACCCAACTCTACACATACAGAGTGCCAGTATGGTATGAGGACAGGGCTGCTCTCAAGTCCTTCTTTATTTAGCTGTTAAGAGACACTAATTCTACATTTTAGGCTAGGTTCACACTCATGCGTTGCGGTACATTGCATGTAATTTGCACAGGAACCGCACCACATTCCTGTGCAAATCACATGCGAATTGTGTGTGGTGCAATTTGAGCCATACATTATGTAAGGCTCAAATCGCACCGCATCCGCACCAGAAAGGTGCAGGACCCTTTTTTTGGATCCGCACTAGAATCGGATCGCTTGGGTATTCACACCTATGCAATTCGATTCTGCAAATCACACCGCGTTTTGCAGACCGATTTCGGGGTGTTGTTAACATACACACCCGCAGCGGTTCGCGTGAACAGGATGCGATGCGGAAATCACACATAAAATGCTGCAAATTCCGGACCGCATCAGTGTGAACCAGGGCTGAAAGTTTAATCTAATACAGCTTTGTAAAATACATGTATATTTATCATTAGCTCCTCTATTTACTCCCAATTTTTTGTCCCTGACAGAGTTGAAGGCAATGCTAAAGTTATCACCATCCAACATTTCTGGGTGAATGACATGGCTACGCTCACTCCTCCAATGTATTCATGGAGCCATGGTTGTCACCCAGGCAAAACTTTAGACATGTTTGTCTCTTGTTGATCTCCAATGCATGGGGAATAGGGAGATTAGTACTTTAAAAATGAAAGATAACATTGTTCAATGCTTCCTAATCAGATTATGAAGTAACAAGCACATGACATTTTTGGCAAGGCCAACAGGTATTTTCTGTACTTGCTGAAAATAAAAAGTTAAAGTGATATTAAGCCTTTATTTATTTTCAATAACAAACACGTCATGCTTACCTGCTCTGTGCAATGGTTTTGCACAGAGCAGCCCCGATCCTCCTCTTCTGGGGTCCCCTGCTGGCACTCCTGGCTCCTCCCTCCCCAGTACCCCCCTTGTAAGCTGCTTGCTAAGGGGGTTACTTATGCAGGCTCTCTCCCGAGCTCCGCTGGCTGCAGAGATTGCTTTAAAAGTAAAAAACCTTAAGGCTTTAGAACCACTTTAATACATCCACCATATCTAAGGACCTATAAGCTGCAATATGTTACATTTTTGTTCATGTGTTTAGTTACCCTTTAATTGACATTTTTAGTGTTGTAACAAGGTCTCTGAAACCTTTACAAGCAATGCAAGACACAACTCTAGGCAATATTTTAGTTGTCAAACTGCTTGCTTTATCTTCATTAGAAATGTTTTTGTAGAAAAGATATTTGTCTTAACTATGAAAATGGAAAAATATTTTTTCCAGAAAACAGCAGAAATTTCCTTTGGCCATTTTCTACTCAGATATTCATGTTTGTGTTGCTTTTATTTTTTTCAGGATTTGCTTACAAGACACAAGTTGATGGTAGCTGAATTTTTAGAACTGAATTATGATAGAGTAAGTACCAATACCTAAATACTTTTAACATATTGTTGCAGTAACATATTGTTGGTTTTTATGAGTTCTGCCGAATTTGGAATTGAACTAAATTAGTTATAGGGTGAGATATATATGTTTTATAGTCCATTGGCCCTATTCAGTATTCAGCTATAAAAATAATGTTAAACAAAAAGCCCCCCCCAACCACTCATGTAAACAAACCCATTTTTCTTCACTTTGGAGAGATTTCCTTCCATTTCCTATTGTTTTTTAGCCAAAAAGTGAAGGGGAATCTCCCTAAGGTACATACGTAGCAAAAAAAAAAAAAACTGACAGGGGTTAAGCATCTGCTACTCTTCTTAAGTCCTGTCCATGCAGGCTTTACATACACTTATGTGGTGACTCAAATGGTAAGAATCCCAATCATACTTCTATAGACTACATGAGTGCACTTCGTTCTGCACTCCTGTGACCCATCTTCAGTGGACAGCAGGCTAAAGCCCGCTGTCGCTGATGTCACAGAGCTGATCCAGACTCTGGAGAAATCCTGGCTGTAATGTTGGGATCCATCTAGATGCCTGGTCCGGCAGCTGGCTCAGCCGCTGAGAGCCTTAGCAATCCGCTTCCACCCACTCCACAGCCCGGTGCTCCAGTGAGTGTTGAGGGGCAGACCACAGAGCCAGTGACCGACAGCCACCAGCTGTCTGCTCAGTGAAGACTGAGAACTGAGCAATCAGCGGGCTTTGATCACTCGGTCTTAGAGTCAGCAGGGGACAATGCAGCATCGACCTGAACTTCTCATTTAGACACAAAATATAGAGACGTCAGTAGTGCTGGGACAGACTGGTTCAACACTCAGGGCAAGGATGAGGTACTGCACCCCCTATCCTAATGCATGCAGTAGAAAGGGGTGTACCACCCTGTGCCAATCTTGCCCCCTTACTCTGACTGGCATGGAATGTACTTTGCACATGTGTGGTTAAGTGTTTACTTTCTAGCAACTATAAGGTAGTTGCAAATGTTCATTGTGGGTGGAGAGTGGGTACATTGAAGCACAGTGTGACAGCAGTAGCTTTCTGAGCAGCCAAGGAATTGCTAGCTACAGGATCTGGAGCTTGTGTATGCTGAGGGTCTGCCCCCCAACCACTGCACCCTGGGCGGATGCCCCTCCTGCCCACACCTAGTCCTGGCCCTGAACATCCAACAGTTCTGAAGAATTATGCAAAGCAATGTATGTGTTTAACAATGTATTTATCAAACTGTCGGCCAGAAGTTATCTATTCCATGTCTTCTGTCAATTCTTGGTTTTGATGTAAAGATTTCTGCAAAATCAGAACATCTCGGATACCTAGAAATACGGGGATACCAAATATGTGAATCTTTTTTTTTTTTTTTAATTCTGTTTATTAGTGTTTTCCATAAGAACATAAAACACTTAATTAGGTGGTGCTGCCCATGCAGGGGTGCAGCAACCTGCAAAAGAAAAGAAAATAAAGGCATCAAGTGGCAAATAATTGCTCAGTTTAAACTTCCTAACAAATACAGCTTGTGTGAGAGTGTGACTTGTACACAAAAAGGCAGATGTGCCCCATACCATGTCTTTTCAGTAGCTCATATAGTGAAACATGAATGTAGCATTCACAAACATGGGGTTGTTTACCAGAGCAGACGGTTAGTCATCAGGATACTATAAAACAGCATCAAAGTGAATCACGCATTGGGGCACTGGTGGCACTTCCTATCTACTTCACCCGTACTCTATCAAACTTTGTAACACAACCCCTGTTAGCATATGTTTTTTTATACATAGGCAAGGTGGAATTGACCAATTGTTGCTAGAACTGTACTGAGGGGGAAGAGGACTTCTTCCAGTTCAAGGCAATTGCCTTCTGGTTATAGAATAGAAGCAGACCTAATGTCACGGTCTAGGTCAGGTTCAGAGACCAGTTGCTACAGCAGTGTAAGGCTTACCTGAAACCAGCAGGGTTGGTACACCAGCAGATCACCCTGGGAATGACGCAGGCTCACCTGAGGTGCGGAGTCTAAGTATTAACCGGTTTTCCCCAGAGCTCCTAATGGATGGATTTGGCTGCGTGTTAATACAGTCACAAGCCAAGGGTCGGTCACAAAAGGTAATAGATAGGATGAGGCAGAATCGTAGTAAGTAGCAAGCCAAAGGTCACAAATGGTAAGATAGGATGAGGCGAAGATGGTAGAAGAGCAGCAGGAACAGTAAGCGGGATATTGGCTGGGAAGGCACAATAATCTGTCAAGGAGGAAGTGTATGGACATGGCTTTTATAGGACGTTCATGGGAGCAGCAAGGAGTTCAAGGTTCAAGACAAACAGGGCCAAGGCAGGATCATCCAAAGAATAGTCAAGGGAGCTGTCCAGCATTCCAGGTAGCTCAGTGAGAAGAAACATTGCCTCTCACCGCAGAAGGCCCAGGTTCAATCCCAGGCTCTGACACCTAAAAGGGTCTTTTCCACTATGGTTGCAACTATTTCTTCCACTTGGCACAGCAAACAGATCCTAGAAAAGGGGTAAAGGAGGTGCCTGCCTTTGCATTAATAATAGCAACAACTGCCCCCCAATATTGCGAAATAGCTGAGCAATCTCAGCACACATATATAAAATGTGCCGTCGTGTAAGCAAATCTTTAGCAGGCTGGAGAAGACATTGTATTAAGTTTATTGAGACAATAAGGTGTAAAGTACGCCCTATGCAAAATTTTGAATTGAACCAGTTGAGTTGAACCAGTCTCTGATGGAAAAATGGTTTGAGCAAGTTGTTTGCTGGTAGTCCCACATATCCATCCAATGATCATCGTCAAAATCTGGGATATCCCTCAGCTACAAATGTCTGCATTGTGCCAAGTTTAAAGTTTGGTGAAGGGGGGATTATGGTGTTGTTTTTGTTTTTCAGGGGTAGGGCTTGGCCTATTAGTTCCAATGAAGGGAACTCTTAAGGCATCAGCATAACAAGACAGTTTGGACAATTTCATGCTCCCAACTTTGTGGGAACAGTTTAAGGATGGCGCCTTCCTGTTCCAACATGACTGCGCACCAGTGCACAAAGCAAGGTCCTGACCTCACCCCAATAGATTACCTTTGGGATGAATTAGTGCAGAGACTGCGAGCCAGGCCTTCTCGTCCGACATCAGTGCCTGACCTCACAAATGCACTTCTGGAAGAAGAGTCAAACATTCCCATAGACACACTTCTAAACCTTGTGGACAGCCTTCCTAGGTGCAAAGGGTGGGCCAACTCAATATTGAACCCTACGGACTAAGACGGGATGCCATTAAAGTTCATGTGTGTGTAAAGGCAGGCGTCTCAATACTTTTGGCAATATAGTGTATTTGAACTGGTCAATCCACTGCAGAGGGAGATCCGGAGGGACCATTGAAGGGGCATCTACATCAATTAGGAATAACAGGGATTTACCCCAATTAATTTTAAGGCTTTTGATCTCTGCAGAAGAGTTAAGCACCTGGAGTGCTCCCTGTTTGAGGGGCCAGCATTAGAACCTTTCATTTATAAGCAAATATGGCAATTTGTTTTCCAGACCTGTTTTGCTTATTTAATTTTTTTAAAACCGAAGACCATTTTCCAGTAAACTTTTGAAGAAAGCAATCAGAGCCAAATGGTCTGTGATTACTGACTGTACAATAAGCTGAGCCAGGAGGCTTCCATCTGTGTGTATCATTCTGGATACGCAGACTTAATAGTCGGCTACGCCTGTACTTCATAGAGAGAAAGAGTTCTATCAAGTCACATATGAGCCACATATTGTTTTCATCTTTCTATTGAACACCTCTCAGCAGGTTGTAACTTTTTAAATACATAGAAACATATGCTGCATTATACATTTCATAGACATGTGACTCCCATCAAATGTTATGTGATGTAATTACTTTAAACATTCCGAATTTATTACTGTGAAAAGACAACTTTAATCTTTTATAATGCTCTTTAGATACACATGTGAAATAGATTTTTGAGTGTAAATTTTATCAATGCATGTTAACGTTTTAAAGCTGGAAAATCTAAACTAAACAGATTTTGTTTAAACAGAAAGACAATGTGTATTCTTATTTGAGTTGTGGTTTCCTCTGTGTATTTCTGCCAAATCTGTGCAGTAATCCAGTTTTCAACAACTTCTTCACTTTGCCTTTGTGCAGGAGTTTCCTTTAATAAAGACCGGTCAATGCTGCTCTCTCTCATTGTGCAGGGTGACTGGTCTTGTATCTGCCTCCTGTATTTTGTGCCGGCAGCCTGTACTAGGAGGACCAGATGGGCCGCTTCTACAGCTCTGCGCGCTGTACAGCCTATGCACAGAACAGTGATGTCACTTCTACGTTTACGGAGTAATATCTAGGTTTGCAACCCATTTGGGGCACACTAAGAGAATGTATATCTTTGTGGCAGTTGAGTAATATATTTAAAATTTTTGTAATAGTGGTTTCCTTTTATGGCTATCACCATACGTCATGCAGCAGAGGCGGGGGGGGGGTTACACACAATGCTGGCTGAGCACTCCACAAACCGATTGTCCAGATTTCTGTGACCCAAGGAACTGTAATAAATACACAATCAAGTGTACAGAAAGTAATAAAAAGAAAACATATTTTTGAATATAATAAAATAAATAGAACCAGCGCCACGGAAAGTATATGCAAATCAATAAGCTGCAAAACCTAACCTATAAAAGTGTATAGGGTGTACAAAGTATCAAAAGACAGGTTGTGCTTAAGTGTATACAAATATGTATCAAACAAACAAATAATAAGTGATAAACAAAATAAAAATCCAGCAATAAGAAAGTCCAAAAAAATGTAATAAATGTTCAAATGATCAATAGTGTCCAAAAACATATATCACCAAGTGAATCCACCACCAAAATCGGTTAAATAGAACTCACCAGAGCAATATGCTGATATATGATAAACCAGCATAAAGCGCTTTTTGCTCTGGGAGCGGTGATCAGTATGATGACAGCAACAATAGGAACTTTGCA